AAACTGGTAAAAATATTTACATTGTACCTAAACTGGTAAAAATAATTTCTATTGTACTCAAACTGGTAAAATATTTCATTGTACTCAAACTAGGTAAAAATATTTCATTGTACTTAAACTGGTAAAAATATTTAATTGTACTCAAACTGGTAAAAATATTTCATTGTACTCAAACTGATAAAAAATTTAATTGTACTCAAACTGATAAAAAATTTAATTGTACTCAAACTGGTAAAATATTTAATTGTACTCAAACTGGTAAAAATATTTAATTGTACTCAAACTGGTAAATATTTAATTGTACTCAAACTGGTAATTCTTTTTTTACTACATGTTTAAATTAATACTAATCGGTATCTTTCTGTAGTTTGTTCTTACTTGTTGTTTGGGTCTTCTGATACATTTCACAGATCGATTTAAAAACAAGTTTAAAAGAAAGGCAGAATTTTGTAAAGTAGTTGTCAACTAACAGAGGGTTATTTTGTGACTCGCTATTTTCCAAGACACGTTTTTTTATTATATTTTACTACTTTTCGTTTATTGACTAATCTCATTTCGATATTTGGCGACTTATTGTTTAAACATTCTGATTAGCATCTTTATTTTGTTTTGAAGACATAAAAGAATTGGTTGTGATTATTAAGAGTGGAAACAGTACTTTATTTTATTTTTGATTAGGCCTATCTTGCTCTTCTAGCACAATCATGGACTCTAGTGTTTTTATTCCACTTTCAGAATAATGCTCTTACATGCATTGCTACCTTTATAATATGGCTTCAAAATAGGCACTGTTCATCCTGTAGATAACTTATAAAACAATCTGTCTGACTTCCATATACTCGAGAAAGGTTTTCATTAAATACATGTAAATCAACGTAGAAAAAAAACTGAAGACACCGAAATATTGGTTCGGAATATAATAAAAGTTGTTTCATTTTCGGTTAGCGTAAAGTTGTTTTGTTAGAGAAGACATAACTAACATAAAGTATTTGTTAATACCACAGTAACAAATAATACACCTATAGTGTGGTATAATACCACAGTAACAAATAATACACCTATAGTGTGATATAATATCACAGTAGCAAAAAATACACCCATAGTGTGGTATAGTACCACAGTAACAAATAATACACCTATAGTGTGGTATAATACCACAGTAACAAATAATACACCTATAGTGTGGTATAATATCACAGTAACAAATAATACACCTATAGTGTGGTATAATATCACAGTAACAAATAATACACCTATAGTGTGGTATAATATCACAGTAACAAATAATACACCCATAGTGTGGTCTAATAACACAGTAACAAATAATACACCCATAGTGTGGTATAGTACCACAGTAACAAATAGTACAGCCATGGTACAGTATCACAGTGAAAAATAGTACAGCCATAGTGAGGTATAGTACCACAGTAACAAATAGTACAGCCATAGTGTGGTACACTATCACAGTGAAAAATAGTACAGCCATAGTGAGGTATAGTACCACAGTAACAAATAGTACAGCCATAGTGTGGTGCATTATCACAGTAACAAATAGTACAGCCATAGTGTGGTTTAATACCATGATAAAATATAATATAGTTGTAGTGTGTGGTAAAATTCTTATAAAAACTGCAAAAAAGACTATTAATATGAAATGTTCATTTCCTTTGGTATCAAAACGTATGTTTTTATGTTTGTCTGCACGTTAATAGTTCTTCGTTGCTATTACGTTTTTTCTTTGTTGTTGTTTTAATACCTGCTTAAGGAATGCTGAAATTTAAAGTTTCGCTTATCAGACGACCCAGAGACTTGTAATAAAGTGTTTTAAAAACTCAACAAAACAACGTCATACCCTTTACCACAAAGTTAATGATGACATTTCTTTGAGTGAAAGTCAGGTATAATCATAATACATGTTAATTTATGCTAATCACAGTACCTGTTAATTTATGTTAATAATAATTCTTGTTAATTGATCTTCGAGAGTGACATAAAATAAAGCGACCTTAAACTGTCTCAACATAAATTATTTGTTTAAAGAAAATATGAACTTTTCAGAATAAGAAATATTTGAAAAGTTGACTTGATAAAATTTCCTTTAATGCTACTGTTTTGAGGGTAATATTTTGATATGTTGAAGTGCTTTAAGGCTGTAGTAAAGCGACTGTTGGAAGCATTTAAAATGTGATCTCATAGAGGAATGGTGGGTAACAGATACAAAGAAAGAAATTAACGAGGAAGTATAAGAACATGGGAAGATAGAAGTAAGCTGCTGGCGTGTAATTAGATCTTAGGGAAGGTTGGCAGAGGTTCAGATGGGTAAAATGGGAAGAAGAAGAACAAAAGGAAGCAGAGACTCACTTGGTTCGATTATATTAGAAAATGTAGTGGAGATAAAAAGCATGAATTAGTAAAGTTGGTTCAGGCAGCGAGGAATAAAGGAAAATAGCCTCAGAAAACATGGAATGTTTGACGTGTAATGTTTTGATACATGGTATACTAGTGTTGATCATAGCCTTTTTAATGCCGAACAAGTTGAATCTTTATAAACATTTGGATTCATATTTTTACATGTATTTTTAGAGTGCAATATTAAATACAAGAACTATTTTTAGAAAACTTAAATGATTATACGTTTTAATGAAATAAACAGATAGGTTAACTTTACGAAGTAGCATTTTCGCTCAGGTTGATTTTTTTTTAAATTCACAATTTACTTCTAATTTTTCTATTCTCTATCACACTTATTTTATATATAACATGACGTATATTTAATTTATAACACTAAAATACAAAGGTGTTTTTAGTAGATTGTTTAATAAGTTGTTTAAGATAAATAAAGCTACAAGCTCTTGTGCACGTAATATTGTAAAAGAATATATTTAAGTTTATATAGATTTTCATCTACAATGACTGGTGAGATAAAGTTTCGTTGAAAGAATCTTGATGTGCTCGAAGGGTTCTAATTTTGGAGAAGATTTTAAGTAATTGATCAAACTTGAGTTATCTGCTCAAACACGAGTTATCTGTAAATATCTGTAAATATAATATGATGATGAAGTCACAAAATATGTACTGGCAAAGTGGTCTTTATAAATATGTATTTAAACTATCGTTCTAGTTGTACTGTAGTCCTATTATGCTCCTGTTTGATGTGACTTTTAAAATAAATACACCATATTTTGTAGGTGGCGCTTTATTCATGTTCAGTATTTTGAAATGTTATTCACTTCACAATGTCTTGTCAATACTTCGAAACCTTCTCTCACAGGATATTTATATATAAACATATTTATGAATATCTCATGAAGAAAGTTAAGAAACATTACTGTAACTGAATGAAGTATCCTTAAGAATTTATTAAAATGTATAAAAGCATTTCTGTCTTACACTTGGAAGTTTCAGGTGTTAATTCCTTCTCCTCCAAGTCGAATGCTATGTGATGAAACCATTTTGTCTTCAGAAAATTGTTAATAAGAGACCACTAGAAAACGAAATAAGAATAAGTAACAACCTTTATTCGTGAAAAATCCCAACTCTGTTAATTAAAGCAATGTTTCTATAGAAACACTAAGAGATCACTAGCGAGATAATTTGGTAAAAATAACAGCTTTTACCTCTGTTAATTAATCAAAGCAACGTTTACATAGGAACATGCGACTAACAGACTACTTTGAGAGCTAAATAACTATAAGTAATAGCCTTTACCCGTGTTAAGTATGCATCCATGTCGGTATAGTATAACTTAAGCTTATTCATTTTAATGTCAGAAGAAACGAGACTGGAGAAAACGTAAAATATTTGGACTAATTTACTCCTAAGATTTAATACTGTACATAATGCTCGGAAATCATGTGGATTTTTTAAAAACCAAAACATTTGTCTTAGTTTGAATAACATACTTTAAGTACTCGTTTACATGTTGAAAAAATATGAGAAATTGTAGACTCATAACACTAAGAGTTAGTTAATAAACACGTATAATATATATATATAAATATAGTAATAAAGGTATAATATATATATATAGTAATAATCATGTATAATAAGAACTTAACATTGTCATTTGTAAGTGTGCAAAATTTGTCAATAGCCACAAACCAATAAAGTGAAAATAACAAATCATAATATGTATTCCAAATAAGAGCAAAGACAAATATACAGAAATAAATGTCAGAAAACCTATAAAGCTGTTAAATATAGTCGGTCTCTTCAATTATACATTAACGATGGCGAGAATATACATATATTCAGATGAAACTGAAATAAATATAAAACTAGGACTAACTAAACACTTCAACTGAAACTGTCTGTTAATATAGTATATTAGTTCTAGCTACTGTACTGGAAGTTTTGTAAGAAAGTTATTGTAGACAATAAACTACTAAGGAGATTCTGTAAACATTAAACTAATTTATTGCTTTTTTGTTATGTTCTTTATAGGTTTATATGCCAATCTATAGCAACTTTTGATGTTTTATGAAATTTGTCTTTACAACTAGAACCAAACATATGTAGCATGTATCGATAAAAAGTGAAATAAAGAATCATTAAAAATGATTTTTTTCTCTTGGTTTTCATAATATAAACCACATAATAGGCTAGAAGTTTTACTATTTTTAAGATGTTCTTGGATTAATTCTTTATTGCATCTAATAATAAAATAAGAAATAGGGTATATGACATAACCAGATCTAAGAATATTCATTGCAAGATCAGCACCTTTTTAAAACCATTCG